GCAACCAAGGATGGTGCAATTGAATTTTCGCTCGTGCATATCATATTCTGGATCCTCAAATTCCAACTCGTGCCCGGGGTGTTTGCCATAAACGGGGCAGTCAAGCAGTGCAGTGTTGCTTATACACACTGTAGTATCGTCGAGTTTCTCGGAGTTGTCCATTGGCGGGTCAAGCGACCGAACAGAGGAGATACCAGCACCAGAGGGGATGGGACAGGCTTCAGAGGCTGTGACATGGATTTTTCTATAGCTCAAGGGTTCAAGTGTAGTTGTCGATGCACTCGGAAAGACCAAAGCAGGGTTGATAGTTTGCATTGTCGAGAAATCGGTCTCTGGGGTCCGTTCAACTATATTGGGCACTCGCTCTGAGTCATTTCGACTCGCCAGATATAGTCTCAGCGGTGGCACACAAATTGTTGAGGCCGCTTCAAGCGGACGGTCTGCTTCATGGGAGTGGTGGAGGCTGGGAATGCCACGGTCCGCTAGCGGCATCCGTGTATGATAGATAAAAGCTGGGGCACAGTGGTAGACTTGGACGATCCCATGCTCAACCCAGAATTCACGTATCGGCGGTGCAGCATCCATACGATTATTCTCGCATAGGCTCTGACCAGGTTCGAGCCAGCTTGGCAGGGCGTGCGAGTCCATATGATAGAAAGGAGTGGTGGCTGGAGTCAGCGGCTTGGTGATTGAGAGATGCGGATCAGCATAATATTCCGGTAAATCCGGAGCTGGAAGCAGCGGGCGCAAAAGTTCTTTCTGTTCGAAAGGCATATTTACGGTCCAGGGAGAACGTAGAACAACTAGCCCTGGAGCAAATATATTGACGACAGGAAGAGTTTCAAGGCTAAGCTTCCAGAGTAAATAGGCCACCGACCACCACGAGCATGCAAAGAACGGTGACTATGAACTAACTACTAGGTAATGTCCATTCCCTTCATAACCGATGATGCGAGTGGATAAGATGTAGAAAGGTGCGTCAATACCGGCTGTCTTTATGTTGCTCCCGATGTAAATGTTGTCAACAGCATCTCAAAGATGCTCTGACAGCAAGAATTGGTCCCAATCTTCTCAACATCCGGGGCAGGCTCAAACGACTTGAGATCTATACCGCGTGGGCTGCTTTCAAGTTACCGCTAGATTCGTTGAGTCCGATGGTGCACCGTTGAGCCCTCCAACAGTGATCATATTTGCTCACCAGTGTAAACAAAGTCTTTCTGTGAACATGCCAGATCTAAAGTTCAAATCCGCAGAATCAAAGGCAGGTTTCTCTTTCAGATACAGTACACTGCAAGTTCTTTCCTTCAATTATAACGTGGTATCACCACAGGAAAGACAGCGTCCAACATTGCTCAGCATGATATGATGAAATGCAACCCCCTGGCAAAACTACATTATGTTTAGGCAAGAATGACTGGATGCTTTGCACATCAGCGATCTACAGTTCAGATATAACGTGGGCTCTCGGCAATCTCTAGTGTTGGATCATGAATGGTTGATCTACGAGACACACGAGATGACCAGACACATCTCGTTGAAGAAGCACAGCTTGTTATATCCACGCTTTACACACAACCAATTGAGCTTGACGTGAGAAAACTGAAAATCTAATGAGGGGTGTTTATAGATCACTTCGCCGGCCCAAAATTCCGCTATCATTGGTATGCGGTTAATTTGGTATCATCACATGAACATAGAGGGTGGAACAGTATGGAGATGGCGTTGGGTTTATAGATCAACATCAACTGCTAGTTGGTCAAAATGATTCCTGGTCTAAAAGCAATACACTTTATCTATCATTCTTGTAAACCATGTCGTGACCTCTGGTGTTCGAGCTGCTATTACTAATTCGGGCAAAGGCACCGTCAAGTCCTCGCTTTGAATGTCCACCATCCATCTCTGAACCGTCTCGGCGGCTTGCGTTTCAAATATTGAAAGGTGCTTCGTCATGTAATCCTGCACAATGCTCAATGACTGCAGAACTTGAACTTTTTCAAGATGTGCTGTGAATCCAATAAAAGCTGCTTCCACAGAATTCTGCCTGTGATATTGCTCAGTAGATGCACTCGTACATGGGAAAGGATTTTTTAGCAAAAAGAGGGAGAGCTGCACGTCGTGATAATAGGTCGACCGGCCAGGGATAAGCGATTCGGAAGTATCATCAGGCAAAACGGGAGTTGTGAGGCCATTTGAAGGTGAAATTGGATGAGGTGCGAAAAAGTGTTCTTGAGTGCTCGAGCACAGGTGGGAATCCGTATCTTGGCTGAAGGTTGTGGAACTGGCTTTAATAGCTTGAGTCAGACTTGGGATATGTGGACGTATCAAACTATAGGAAAATTCAAGCCTCTCTACCTCGGGTCCAGCTGAAGAGACCATGCTGGCCACCCCCTCGTGTTCAGTGGTCTTTGACTCGTCGCTCCTTTCGTGTGGCGGGCGTTGGATTTTTCAGCGGTTTTCACTTCTCTGACGCTTCCGAGGCTTCAGTCGCAGTGCATCACCGGGATTTCTGGTGTCGGGGTCGTACTCATTGGGTCGAGGCCGGATCGCGCGATATTTGGAGGTTGAGGGTGAGGGAGAGGGAGAGACCGTGGGTGCTGCTTCCAAAAGAGGTGTTGAAGGAGGTTGTTCGTGGACAAAGTCGTAGTTTTGAGGAAAAGCCCCAATAGACCTGTCGTCCGCTACCGGGGGATATCTAGAAACGTATTGTGGTGAGGTATATGAGATTGGGTAACTCATCCGGCCAAATGTGAACTGATCTCGGGTGCTCATATTGATCCGGTGTGGAGGCTTTCCCATGAACCTCCGAACTTCTCCGAGTATATGGAGAATAGATCAGCACACAATATTCCGTAGGAACGAATGGTACATTTAATAGTGGGAAATACTGAGAACGATGATTGCACTTTTTCGTAGAGTAGGACGGGCCATTATGATCGAGGGTCTGGGGAGAGGGATTGGGGCTTCATTTTCGCTCCTAGGGCATTGTACTAGCGAAAGCCTTTGACTACTAGCTTTATGTTCCAATGCTCTCATTTCTATTGGAAGATAGCGTAGACGAACCAAACTTTGATCCTACCTGAAATAGTAAGTCCGAAGTAGGCGCAACAGGCGTCAGTATCTGAGTCTGAACCATAACCGCTGGCTAGCATGAAACATGGCTTGATGATAAAGTCTTGTTCCTAGGGCCCCGCGGCAATCTAATAAATCAGCACTTGTTTCCACATCCAGCCGTATGGCATATGTGTCAATGCCGGATACCAACGGCGCAAGGTTACCAACATGAAGTGCTAAGGCATATAGCACATAGGCATTCACCTAGGGCCGTGGCCGATCCATTCCCCCTCACATTCTAATTCGTCTTCATTATCTCATTCCAGGGTATCTGCCATCTTTACGTTTTTTCGTATTCCGAGAAAACGCTCAGCAAGATGGCTATCAGATGACAGAAAGGGGGTTATCAAGGCGCACCATCCCAAGACAACCCCGATTCAAGTAAGGTCTCGACAGTGGTAAATGGGGTCTATCTGACCAGATCTGGAGAAAAAAAGAGCTGGCATCGTATATTGGTTCTAGGTAATTTTCCCTCAAGATAACCTTTCTAATAAATCTACAAGCCCCTGCCCAAAAGCCATCAGGTTGATTCCAGAAGGCCAATATCAATATCCATGAAGGGTAACCAGGATCAGGTACGTCCGGACTTAAAGCTTGTCCGAAATGACTTTACTCTCATGGTACCTTTTATTGACCATTCTTCTTCACCGCATGACTAGCAACTATCCCAGGACGACGGAACCATACCCAGCCACCCTCATTCCAAATTCAATGAACAGAGAGCTATAGGCACTTATGGAGCACCGTTTGAGTGAGTGAGCTGGTTGCTGACTTGAATCAGGCACCTTCGTCCCTCGTGGGGAGTTGTCGTGTAGAAAAACGCCTGTTTCGTGACCGCTCGGCCAAAAAGGTGTACACCTTCTCAGCTAGCATAAGTTTGGTGTATTTATGCGTATTCTTGGTTCGAAGAAGTTCAGGGATTTCGAGTATACTTCCAAAGACTGCATCTCCGACGACAAACGTACAGTTACTATTGGAGGTACAGGTTCTATAAGTGGTACGGTACTTTGTACTTTACCATCAACCTGCAAAACACCAGAAGTATAATAAAATTTGGCATCTGCCTCTACAGCCCCCCGCGCAGAGTTTAAATCATTGTACGTAGTTTTGTGTCAATTCCAGTGGCGTGATTCTGACCGGTCTCGAATTATTGATTCCCATTTTCATTTTCCCAAATGACTAGGACACGGGGAACACTTGTTTGGTCGGTAGTACAGACTAGAACATACATAGACATCGAGGGCTACAATTAGCATGCACGACCAATTGGAGTTGATGCGAGCCATAGAGGCAACCCGTATTCTCGTTGGTGCTTCTGGAGACTGTAGTTCTTCAACGTGCTTTCTGCCTGATATTTGAAGCGGAACGTCCTGCACATTGCAATCGAATCGGATCAGGTTCCGGACAAAGAACCGCCCGAATGTTGCAGTTGGAGAAGCAGAATTTGAGATTTTCCTTTGCTTTGCCCGTCGTGACATCGAGGAACGGGGTTGTGAGTGCCCGAATATCCTGTATATATCCCGGCGATAAGGATGCCCTCAGATTGTTGAACGTGGTGTGAGCACTTATCATGGGAATCCTTCTCCAAAGTCGCTGACCGTTGTGACCCAACAAAACGGATTATGTCCAAAGTTAAGGCAAAATCTCGCATTTTATCGCTAGTTGTTTGGCTTTCTGAAATCGCCAGAAGCCGGGGCCTCTCACAAACGAGCATATACAGTTTGACCGAGGAATGAACTGGTGTAGCATTCAGCTAAGGGTATTCAGGGAGGGTTCTTTGATTGAGAAAGATATAGTCAGAGTCCAATATGCGAGAGATTGTTCAGACGTGTCTCACCTTAAAAGCCAACGCGCGAGAGTCTTGTCGCAGCACTCCTGACTGGGTCAGACTAGCCTTTAGACCACGCAGGACCCTCCGCACTGATGGCAGACGAGAGATCTTTGGTCCAAAGAGCATTAGGATGATGTCGTGCGCTGGAACTGGCATTTAACAGTGTTTCAGTTGAACCAATTCGAGTGATCACGCACGACGGTCGTGTGATGAGGAGACGGGTGAGAGTGGCCAGGAGCTTGGTGAGACTGAGGATTTCTATCGCTGGAACTAGAATAATCCAATGCATGTTCGAGTTTCAAAACATCCTAGACAATGCTTGGTAGCATAACATCTTGGCGGCTCGCCATCAGGCCCAAGCCTGAAGAGCTTTGGTCGGTAGGTTTTGGAGGATTCGTTCAACTTGAACTTACCAGTAAAGAGGCCGAACAGAAGTGAAATAGCAAAACGGGCGGTGTTTTTGCCTGGTGGTAGGAGGAACTGATGATTGAAAGAGATAAGAAGGACCAGAACGACCAGGTGCGAGCTAGGGTAAGGAGGAGTGCAGAAGACCCAAGTTTGCCTTACCTAAAACGGGTAGTCAGCGATACATTTCTCCTGCTCCCAAGCCTTCTCCCTCCCATTCCCAGGATTCAAAAATGACATCCACCGACTAAAACGAATTGAGCTATTCCGTTACAGACAGAGCGGCTGCATAATTGAATGCACTATTTGACGCCTTTCCAGCAACGAAACGGCCGTCCACAAAGCACAGCCCAGGCAATCGAAGGACTTCTGAAGGTCGTTCAGGCGGGTCCTACTTGACTGTGCAGCCAGCGAAGGGCAAATTTACGGAAGGATTTGTGGACGCAGGGATTTCAACCGAAGTTTCTGTTGTCGAATTTTTGCCCAGGCTTTCGAGAAATATCTGCGTCCTGGGCCCTCCTCAAGTTTCACTACTCCAAACTACCGTTCTCCCATCCCTCCTATGGCGCCCACCTAGTTGTCAGGCATCCACTAATACATTACTAGAGTTGGCCGACCTCCCACCATGTAGACAGACAGCTGTCTTCCATACAGTCTATCGACTAGGCTAAGCACGAGGCAATCTCTCCCACGAACGGCAGATGAGATAGCGTGCTGTCCACAAAAGACACAAAAGGCAAATGAGTCTGTTGACCTTCAACTTTTACCCACAAAGGAACCAGAAGCTAATATTGTTGAAATCTTCACAGGGTCCTTACGTGAACGAGTCGGCCCAATCTAGTGTCATGCAAACGAGGCGGTGCAAAAGATGCGACCTTACAACAAGAAACCATGCTATCAACAGGGCAACAGGGACTGAAGGTCGCGGTATGAAAGAGGTTGGTATGATGGAGCCAGTAAACCGAGCAAACACAACGCTGGATTCAGGGTATCTGGACTGGGTGATATCAATTCTCTACCTGAGACGAAGGTGCCAGAACCATAAACATGCGGAAATCTCAAACAACGAATGCGAACCCGGGATAAGTGATGATATATGACAAAGTATCTTCGCATAATACCAAGATCACTGGACTTCACACGAAATCAATCATCGACACAAAAGGCATGGAATGAGCAAGTGGATATTCGCGAACTTCAGAGAAAACAACATTATCTGACTTGCTCATCAAGTGTAGCTGAGCTCAGTCTTTCTATCCACCTACCAATGTCAAAATAAACCCTCGGATTCTGGACTAGGTGGTACTTGTCCGCATATGTCTGTACATAATACAACAAGTCGAGAGCTTGATCTCTGATGATAGAGCCTCGCATTGGGCCTGAAGCAGTGATGCATTTCGTGAAGATGGAATTTAGGCTCTCGAAAGGAGCAAGCACCTGGACCGTTGTATTTGATGCAATAGGGGTTATTGTTGCGTCGACTCCTTCGATTTCTATCATCCAACTCTCCAACGTCTCAAGTTCCAGGTTGATTGCGCGGAACTCGCTAGCGATTTGGCGCAAGACCCTCAGTGATTGTAGAACTTGAACCTTCAAGGCTTCCCGAAAAGCCTCGACTGGATATTGAACCGTGCTCTGCTGCCAACTTAGAGTGGAAACGGGCGACGACGAGCTTGGTACCTGTGTGGCTGCATTGTGTCTCAAAATTGGCGGAGTTTGCACTGTACTGAAAGAGTCGACTTAGCCACAAAGGGGAACACAAGTTCGGAGGTAAAGCCATGCAAACCTCAATTCATTATCTCCGACTGATAGGGTTGCGGTGTCAGTCACCTCAGATTCCGTTCGACGCGCCTTTTTGGCTGTCCTTTGGACCTGCTCATGGCCTAACTGTCCTCGGTGTTTTGAGTGTATCCTACACCCCAGCACCCGGTGCTGCTTGTGCTTCTCTTCATCCTCAATTCCCGGTAGAGGCGATGTGGGTGTTGGGCTATGCGGCGGCTTAGGTCTTATCTCTCGATAAGTCGCTTTCGACCTGGGGGATTGAGTGACGGTTGAAGGTGCAGGTGCACTGAGCCAGCTTTGCGCTTGTTGAAACCCCACATCACGACCACTTGCTGGGCTGATTATAGGAGCGGAGCGCATCAAAGGAGCGTATGTTGGGCCATACGGGCAGTCTGCTTGGACTCCCACGTACGGGAAGCTTGTGCTGACGTTGAATGGGGTTTCGTCATGGTACATACTGTCAATAATAATGAGTTAGATTATAGTCTGGTATGTTCAGATAGCTCAAGTATTGAGATTACCTGCAAGTACTTTATGCAGCGGGCTTGACGAGTAGGAAGATGTTTGTGTCCTGCCTTCAAGCTAAAAATAAAGCACGCGCGGGGATCGGAAGGCGTGATCTGGATTCCTGCCATGAGACTGACTTTCACTCCTAGCTAGGAGCAGAAGGCTAACTCATTGCGAGCAAATCCTCTGGGAGCCAGACTTGCAAGGGGTCGGTGGATCAGAGTATAGGCGCTCTTGCCTCAAACAGGCGTTCCGATGTGACCCGGACCGACCCCAAGTTTTCTTGTCTGAGCCTTCTCTTCGCCTACACCCTTGACCTATTAAAACCGGCCCATTCTTGACCGATCCACTTATAGATTCGCAAAGTGTTGACTCACCATCATTGCGGTAGAAGTCCATCATACGTAATGAGCGCCAGACCTAGGCAGACAATTTCCTTCACCTTTCACACTCTGCCGAAATCTTTTCTTTGGTACTTACGCTCTTGGCAGTGTCTAGCCGATTATACTGCTCCTTCGTTTGAGACAGGCGGAGCATGACTTGACCATCATTGGACACGGCACCTTGATACCGCGAAGGCCCGTGGACTTCGGCCTTCGTCCTCTTACCCTATCGGTCATGTTGGCCGGGCGTCCCCAGTGGCTATCACTTTCGCTGCAGGCCCACACCGTAATTTCACGGAACATTCCATAGCAGTGTTATTACAGTGTATACGCCAGTACTGGGAGTGTTAAACTGGTACAGGAGGCGGCCGGCCTCCTTTCATCTCCACCGTCGCCACATATCTTCCTCTCATCAGTTTCATCACTATCTACTCAGGACATCCTGGCCTTTGATTCTATAATTTCTTATCATGACTTTCACACACAAGAAAGTAGAGATGACTCTTCGAGATGATCAACCCTCCCATCAGGACTTGCTGGTACCTGGGGAGCGGACGGTGCAATCGCAAGTCATTGAGGACAACAAGATATGTTTCTGCTGAACTATTCTTGCTCTTAATGTATATCTATTTTCAATTGATGATATAATAGCCTACTTCTCCTGGCTTCGAGAGTAACTGACACGGTGAACAAAACATCAATCCAGGTACCTCCACAACCCACCATTAATGCTTTCACCGAACGTGTCTCCTGGTTAAAAAGCCCATTAGGCAACATCACCATACATTCCATGTCAAACCTTGTCGTTGATGGCGGATCAATCATGAACGGGACAACTGAAAGTCTTGGGTACAAATCCAGACAACGGCCGAAGCAGAGCAACCGGCGTCCGGCTGTCGGGGAATCTGGATCGCTTGAACAGAGTACTTGCGTCGTATGATACCACTTCATGTGATAATCTTATGACTCGACAGGCCCCTCATGTTTTGATGTAGGTTGAAAGTATACGGAACGGCGCAGTAGAGCCGGCCTTCATTCGCCAGATGAACAACGTGAACATTAGCCCGGGCGCCAAATTTGTGAACCGCAATATGAGTACAGATGAGTTCTTGGAATACTTCTGCGGGAGAAAGAATTTATATGGGTAGTCGACAGCTTGAGGCTCTGTGGCGGCTTCTACCTATCGGATACTCGCGCATTTCGCTGCGAGGCACAAGTCAGGCCTGATGTCTTTCGTATGTAGTAGTGGAGAGTCATCTGGAATGGAGCGCGATTGATAGGCAGGTCAGATTGATTTGAGAAAGGGCAGGTCTGCAAGCGATGTGGAACCGTTTAGAGTGAGATTGATGTTGTGATCCGCCGGCCATCAATCTTGCAGCTAGGAATACTATCTAGGTGAAGCAAATTCCTCCAACCCCTGTAATCTGCTCAATAATGATTACCATCAGATAGTGGCTACAACCTAGGGAACCGGGCTTGCTCTTTTATTCCGGCTCGTAATCACCATACCCAATCAACCATGGCTCATGTGAAATGTCGAAAGAAGATGTCGCAGGTCGCAAGAGGGCAAAAAATTCTCGCCTTGGGCCATTCCATATTTGGTATGGTTCAGATTTCATACCCTCCCCAGAATGCTAGCAAAAACCGGTATAAGGCCAAAACATTTGGAATTTGGGTTCGACATGGCAATATGGCCAACCGTAAGCCATCTTCTTCCTGCGGATCCTGATCTGGCTCTGGAAAGACCGATATCTTGATAATACTCTAATGTGATTCGTCACGCGTGTCAGCAACAAAGAAACTGGCAAAAGGGAATTCATTTTAATGTTCGCTGCGGCCTCAATTCAACGGTGCTCTTAGTTGATTGTCGGAATGAATATACACAGAGACTTTATGAGGTGCCTTCCTATGGCTCTGACTTCAATTTGATACCAGGAGACAAGTGAGCACAGCCATACCAAATTAGTGCCCATAAATATAACACTGTTACGCTTCATTGACCCCTTTACAAAAGACAGGCCCAAATTCTGCCACTGCATGCTTGCCTCCATTCATCCTAATCACATCGGTATAGGTCTTGTTTTTCGTCACAGTCTTCGCCCCCTCAGATGCCATTTCTACTTCCAAGGTATCAATGAATGGTGTTTTGAACCCCTCAATAAAAGTGTAATTGATGGACCACACTTTGACGACCTGAAACTGGGTAGCATCC